TAATTGAGAATTTTGACACTTGCGATTTTACTCTGCTCAAGTGATAGTTATGGTTGTTATTTGACCGAAGATTGTATTTTTGTGAAAATGCTGATGTAAAAATATCAGAAAACACTTTTGACAGCAAGTCATCATCTAGGGTACCTGATTAATGATAAAAAATGTGATGACAGCAATGATATTGATTTTGAAATTTTTGTGCATTCAATTCATAGGGGATTTGATCAGCATGAATTGAATGATTTGCCAGGTAATTTGGGCATCCCTAAAAAAGCTTTAGAAATCCTAGCAGCGAGACTAAATAAGAAAAAAGTAGTGAAGGTATCATACTTTGAACTAGAAATAGCACATTTCTGCAGTACTTTGAAATTAACAACAGCTTTGAGTTTGGCAATAATATTCCTAATTTACTGAAAAAATTAAGTTTTCAATCTTCAATCTAGAGGAATGAAGATTGTTTATTGATAGCTCGAGGCAGAGCTTGAAGTAGAACTAGTTCCCCTGAAGCAATTTTTAAAAGCTTTGCCAACTTAGGGTGACTGTTTTAAGTATATAATTTCTCAGTTTCCTAGAATTTCAACTGCAAAAATCAAGGTTGATGTATATAATGATCCAAAAACTCAGCAGTTTATCAAAGATAAAAATAGTCATACCTTGAGAAGAATGCTTGGTTATTGTTCAAAAACGTTGTCAAGATCTTTCTTGAAAAACTTGTGCAAGTAATTACACAGAAGTTGTTTTGTAAATATTCCGGAATGTTTTAGTGCATTTGCACTAATTGTTTGCAATTATAATAACCAGCACGGAAAGCATGTTTTGAAACCCTATACAGGCTTAGTGTAGGCAGAGATATGCGCAATCTAATTAGTTGATTTTAAAAAAAAGGCATGTGAGCGTTTGTCAAAATCATAAGAAGAGTCAAACGTAAAATTTACTAAATTATAAAAGTGAAATTGAATAATTGCAGAGGCGTAACTACCGTGGAACAGAAAAGCAAATCTTCCAAGCGTTCCAATTCTTAGGGCGCATTTTTTTTGTACTTTCTTTTGATTTCCCAGGAGATATCTGCCATGATTTTGTCATCTCTCCAACGTTTGCACTTATAAAGTCTGCCAGCAACCTTCATCCAATTTATGTAATGAATGATTTTGCTTAACTGCTCCACGAAAACGTTGGAGATCTTAGTTTTCAATAGAATACCACGTAAACAGGTGGTTCTACCTGACGATGCTGACCGCTACAGGTCAGCAAAATATTATAAATATACAGTATTGGACAAAACATTTGCAACCAACATCGAACAATGCTAAAAAGTGTTCCTTTATTTACATGTCTTAAAAACGAAACAAGCTATACTACCACAGCAAACAATTCAAGAGTCTGGAGTCATAGCATGCCATTACATGAGCAATCAGCTGACAGGTGACAGCAAACAGGCAGAATTTCGTTGAAAAGAGCCATTTTTCAGCGGACGAAACAAATGCAACTTTTTTGGTTTGTTTCATTTTCTTAAGTCTGGTACGTGTCAACGTCACGGAAGTTTTTAAATAGTTAAATGAACTATCCAGACGTTGTGTTCCACAGAGCATTATTGTATCATCACAAGGTAAATGTAACACGATAAGCCTTGAGAAGCGTGATTATTTATTTTTATTATTTTTATGACTTTAAGTGCAAAAATGGCTCCCGACAGTCTTGGATTGAATCTAAGAAAGAAAATTATTGGCAATTATGTAAATGGAATGTCACAAAAAAGTATTTGTGATAAATATGGCATGAAAAAATGGACCGTATCAAGACCATGTTCCAAATATCGTTCTACGGGGAAGTTGGCAGCAGATACCAAAGGTGGAAGACCGCGTTGCACCACTTCTTGAGAGGATTCTATGATCGTCAGATCTATCAAGAAGGATCCCTGGATATCATCAGTTAAGATACAAAACCAATTAGAGCTGCTTGTATTGGACTGAACAATCAGACGACGTGCTTTTAAAGCCGGATTGTTTTCTCGACGCCCTGCAAAGAAACCGCTGATTTCACTAAAGAATTAGAAGAAAAGACTCCTGTTTGCTACATCTCATATTGACTGGATGTGCAAAAACAACGAGCTGTCCTGTTCAGTGATGAATCAAAGTTCAACATCATTGGGAACGATGGCATTTGCCGTGTATGTCGACCGGAAAACGCCTAAAATTACTTTACCGACATAAGCCCGTGAAGCAACGTAGAGGCAATGTAATGGTCTGGGGGAGTTTTCTGCTAACGGTCTAGGTCCAATACATCAAAACGATGAAATAATGGACTGTTTCATAAATACAAATATCCTGAAAGATGTTATGTTGCCTCATGCTGAATGAAATACGCTAATAAAAAGGGTTTTTCACCAAGACAACAATCCGAAACACACTGCAAAAAGTAGTCAGGCAGTTGTTTCAAGACAACCATCTATCGGTGATGGATTGGCCGCCTCGACCTCCGGATCTCAACCCTATCAAGAACCTGTGGGAGATCGTCAACCTCAGAATTAATTGTGAAGGTGCTCGTAATAAGGATCAACTGTTTGAACAAATTCAAAAGATCTAGCCAGCGATTCCACAAAGTTTCATTGATCTCCTGATTGAATCTATGCCTCGAAGATGCAAAGCTGTGATCAACAACAAAGGATTTGCCACGAAATATTGATAGCGAAATACAGCTTGATCAACATTTTGTGGAGTTGCACTTGTTTTGTCCACAAGGAAATCAACCATTTTTAATACTTTTGATTAATTTATTAATTTTCGTGTACAAATAATGAAACTTGTGATGAATAAAACTTGAAAGACGTTGTCTCTAAACAGTTACATAATTATTTCTCTAATTTGAAAAAATGCAGCACTTTTAGATAAAGAAACTAAATTAGTATTATTTGGTTGCACTTGTTTTGTCCGATACTGTATATTAATATCAAAATATATTACCAGAAAAAAGTTTATACGCAGTGGCGGAAACGCCACTGCGTTTAAACTTTTTTTCTGCTCCACGGTATTTGCTTTTCTGCTCCACGGTAGCTACGCCTCTGCAGTTATTTAGTAAATTTTACGTTTGACTCTTCTTATAATTTTAACAAACGCTCACACGCCTGTTTTTTTAAATCAACTAATTAAGACTTCTTGGGGCCCGGGGCTTTTTTTTTGGAGACCTTTTTATGAGCCATTTTAATGTCTGCTTTTGCCCAGGATACAATATGTTCACATAAATTACATACCAAAGGAAATATAAAAGGAAATAAAATGCGTCCAAAAAGCAAATTTGTTATTATTAGCAGTGACGATTTTACGGAGGGAGGGGTGTGTGGGGAGAAAGAAGATGATTTTCAAGTTATAGTCGGTTTTTTCACTAATTTCGTTGGCTAGTCGGGTATTTGACACAACTCAGTTGGTTAAATTTTTATTTTAAGGACCTTTACATTTTGAGGATTCACCCCTGTCATTTTTTTCGTAGAATCACATCTGGTTATTACTATTATTTTTTTTTTAGTCAACAAAAAGTTAAATATGAAATTTATTTTATATATAGCATATTTTATATATTTTATTTAATATTTTTAATGCCCACTTTTGGAAACCAGTTTCCTCAATATCTTTGTTAAGATGTCCGCAACATTTTTTTCAACTTGAAAAATTTTTACTTTTTGACCTTGAATATATTCAAGGTCAATGTATTGACCTAGGATTATTCATTTGTTATTATATTTTATCATTTAATAATACCTATATAATGGAATTGGTTTGGTTTTAAAATTATTTAACTTAAATTAGAGTACCTAGATTTAGAATGATAAAATATATTCAATAGATACAAAAGAATCAATGAAGGTTACCTACGTCTAATACAAAACAACCTACGGGCGCCTCCAGCTGTTGTTCAATGTAAAAATTAGGATGTTTGAAAAAAAAAAAAAAAATTGGATAACAAGTTATTTTGTTTTTGTTAAATTAAGGAGGAATTCTGAGGCTGAATCACTGGGCTTCTGCTTTGACCAACGATAAAATAAAGAACAAATTATGTGTTTAACAATAAAAATTCAAATTCAAAGCCGCGGCGGATAATAACCACGCTTTTTTATATAAACGTTTCTATGGTAATAAAATTAAAAACATGTTCTCTATTTCATAGAATAGAATCGAATAAAGGTTTTTCAAATACAATAAATAAAATATTTTAAAAGTTTTAAAATGTAGGTTGTATTTATTTATTCGACATTTGACTCAATTGTACTTCAATAATTATTAGTCTCAAAATAAAAATTACATTTTATAGCAATTTATTGATTTTAATTTTGAGTTTAACGTAACATCTTTTTTATTTAAGAGCTGTATTTTGCTTTAAAGTAACATCTACAAAATACGATGTATATACTATGATAGTATATACATCTTATTTTGTAGATGTTACTTTAATTAGATGTTAGATAATGTTAAATAGAAGTTAGTAGATGTTACTTTAATTTGTAGATGTTACTTTAATATTATATTATATGCGATAGTAACTATCGCATATAATATAATATACAACAAAATTTGTTGTATTTTATTTGTTACAAATAAAAACTGGTTACCTATCGATTACTACTATATCTTATGATATACATCAATAGTAATACAACTGTCGCATGTTTGATATAATATATTATATAATCAGTTATTGTTTGTTATATATTTTATACGATACATTTCATACATAATACATTGGTGATGTTGCATTAAAACTAAATATTGCTTGAAGATAAAAGTGATGTTGCGTTAAGTTTAAAAACAAAATAAATGTTAAAACAAAATAGACAATAAGATAAACTTGATTGTTCTTGTTTTTTTTAGTATTGAACAGAATTTGAATGTTTCGTTAAACATTTAACATGTAACACTATTTATATAATATTACAGAACATGAAGCTGTTATAATATATAAATAAATTATAAATATAAATATATGTAATTGTGCAATTTGTATTTTATTTAGTTTTGTTTTTTAAAACTACAAAAACATTAAATTTAAAGACATTGAAATGAATTTCAAAGAGAGTTTATTTACAACTAAATTGACACCATTTTGGATGGCTTTTTCTTTGATTTTACAAGTGTTAACACTTGAGAAAAATTGTTCTTCATGTGATGAATTTACACCTTTATGTATAAGTAATTTTTCAAGAGTTTTGTACAAATTTTCAAATGAACAAAAATATCTTTGTGAATCAAAACAGTTATGCTTTCATGAAAACTCTACTGATTCTGTAACCTTGCAACATAAACCCTTGTATATTCTCAAAAATCAAAGTCTGACATTTAGTGTGGATTTGTTTTTAAATAACACTTTACAACTTTATATATTTAATGAGAGTTTTTATTCTGATTGGAATCAATGTAACACAAAAAATATGTCTCAAATCCTTTTTTTTTCAAATGACCATTATCTGCAAATGCCTATTCTTAATATTGGAAAACATTATATTTTATTTAATACAAGTAAAGAAGTATGTTTAAATGGTCTAAGAATACAAGTAAATGTAATTGATCATAACTGTTTTAACAGTAGTAATAATCCAACTATGTTGTACATGTGTTCTTCTAATGGAAAATGCACATACAATGAATCACTAAATATCTACATGTGCAAGTGTTGCCCAGGTTTTCTTGGACAATATTGTGAGAATAAACAGGATGTTCAAAACTTATATCAGAATGTTTTTGACTTGAAAGAAAGTGAAGTTGATGACTTTTTTAAAAAAAGGATAGAATGTATTACCTGCTTTAAAATAGGTATTTTTTATTTTTTAGTAATTAATAGAGTTTTTAATTTTTAATTACAATTTTAGGAATTTTTAATGTTAATGGTTGTGTGTATAATAATATTGTATTAACAATGAAAATGGATTTTTCTTTATCTTAGCGATATATTGTAATGTCTAATAAAATCAATATATATTGATTTTATGCAATATATATTGATATTATGCTATATAGCATTCTTTTCAAGGCATTAAAAGTTAAATATCTAATGAGAATTTGAAAAAAAAAGAACAGAGTTATAGAGCAAGGAAACGGTTGACAGAAGACTTGAAAAGTTGAAGGTTATATGAGTCAGAAAAAAATGAAGATGGAAGAGAGTTCCAAAGGATTAAAGTGCGGGAAAAAAACGAGATGAATAAAAGTTTTTAGAGCATGCAGGGACAGATACAGTAAACGAATGAGACTTAGCTGAATGACGAGTAAAACGAGAATGAATTTTAGTTGATGGAACTAGAGATGATAACTCCTTTGAGCAGTGACCATGATAGTATTAGTAGATAAGAGAAAGAGATGCAACTTTACGACGATGAGAAAGAGGCTCAAGCTTAGCAGATAGTCCAGGTCCAACAACATTTACAATGCGTTTTTGGACCTTGTCAAGAAGAGAAAGTGAATCGTTAGAAGAACCAGCCCAAATATGGCAACAGTATTCCATACAGGGACGAATAAGAGATTTGTAGAGGTAGAGAATGGAATCAGAAGTAAGGAAATGGCAAGCACGATAAAGAGAAGCAACCTTAGCAGAAGCTAATTTAGCAATCAATTGTATATTTGGTTTCCATGAAAGGTCAGTAGTAAGCAATAATCCAAGAAGATGTAAAGAGGAGGACTCAGTAAGAGGATTGCCATTCATTTATTTAGGAATGTTGACCATATTACGGTAGTTGTTTGCAGAAAACAACTGGGTTTTGTTAGAGTTGAAATTCCACTTGAAAGTTGAAAGCCACTGTGAACCCCAATCTATTTCTGAAGTGAGATTGGATTCAATATCAGCTACTTGTTCTAGGCGATCGAAAAGAGAAGACTTTTTGTCAAGACAGGAGTATTGACAAAAAGTCTACTTTTTTGTCAATACTCCTGTCTTGACAAGAGAGCTACTTTAGATGAAAGGTTGTCAGGAAGATCGTTTATGAAGATAAGAAACAAAACAGGGCCCAGAATGGAACCTTGGGGAACCCCAGAAGTTACTGGAAATAAAGAAGAGTGTTGGCCTTCAAGGATGACTTTAATAAACCGGTTAGAAAGAAATGATTTGATAATCTCAAAAACTTTCCCTGAAACACCATATAAAGCAAGCTTATGGAGAAGACCAGCATGCCATACTTTGTCGAAAGCTTTAGATATGTCGAGAGCAATAGCCCTAGCCTCACCGCCTCCATCTAATGCACAATATTTTCTTCAGAGTTTTTGAATATTGGAAATACAGATGTCATTTTCCAAAAAGCAGGAAAACAAGACTCAGTCAAACATTTGTTAAATAGTTTAGAGAGAATTAAAGAAAGTTCTGGAGAACAGTTCTGCAAGACTGTGACAGGAATGTTGTCTGGACCACAAGCTGTAGACAAGTTTAATTGAGATATGACTTTAGCAACAGAAGCCGGAGTGATTTGAATGTCTAACAATGGGTCAACCTGTTTGACTGGAATGAAAGGCAGAAAATGTCCATAAGATTTAAGAGTGGAATTAGAAGAAAAGTTTTTTGCAAATAGTTTTGCCTTATCCTTGGGAGAGGTAATAAGATCAGTCCCATGAAAGAGAGATGGAATGTTAGATCTACCCTTGTTAATAATGCTGTTGAAGATTTTCCAAAAGTCTTTAGAGCCTAACTTCTGCGATAAGATGCGAGGTTTAGTGAACTGAGAATAATGGAGTTTAGCATCAGAAAGCACCTTTTTACCTCGATTTCTTGCCGTTTGTTCTCAAGAGAGTTGTCTAGCAGGTACGTAAAAAAATAATGTTGTTGGAGAAAGCTGTATTAATGTGTCTAAATTTGTCAAAAGTACTTACAAGTGAAGTTGAGATAAAAATATGGTAGATTAATTTTGTTATTAATGTTGCTATTTATTAATATTATTGTTATTAATGTTACTAATGTTGCTATAATTTGTGATTAATGTTGCTATATAAATAGTTAAATTAGAATAATCAATCAATATATTTCTAAAATAGTTGTTACAATCATGGAAGTTTCCTAATAGTACAGCTACTAATCTTTAGTAAAAACCTTACAAGTAAAAGCTAACAAATATATCGTTAATGATAATAGTAATATTTATTCTCTACAGCAGTAACAAAACGAACATTAAAAGTTGTAGGATTAAATATACTACTAATAATAAACAATAATAATAATAATAAAAGTGGTAGTAGTAACAATAATAACAATACAATTATAACAATAAGAATGATAATAATAAAAATATAAAAATAAAATAAATTACAATAATCATAACAAAAATAATAGTAATTTATAGCGTGACTATTGTCTCGATTTTTATGTAAGAGAGCAAAGCGCTAAACTAATTTTAATAAGTTTGATAGTGTGCTTTACTAAATAAAAGCCGGGACAATGGTCACCCTAGTAATTAAGTATTAGTCACACACATATATAAACAAATACAAATACATACAAACACACATACACACTTACATTCACAAATACATATAAACAAATATGTTTATATCCCCCTGTATTGTATACATACATAATAAACACATATACATATAGATTCATATACATACATACATATATATATATATATATATATATATATATATATATATATATATATATATATATATATATATATATATATATATATATATATATATATATATATATATGTATATATATATATATATATATATATATATATATATATATATATATATATATATATATATATATATATATATATATATATATATATATATACATACACATACATAAACACATACACAACACACATATACAAGCATAAATACATAATTGCACATATTATATGTGTGTGTGTGTGTATATATATATATATATATATATATATATATATATATATATATATATATACATATATATATGTGTATATATATATATATATGTATATATATATATATATATATATATATATATATATATATATATATATATATATATGTGTGTATATATATATATATATATATATATATATATATATATATATACATACACATACATAAACACATACACAACACACATATACAAGCATAAATACATAATCGCACATATTATATATATATATATAATAATACATATATATATGTATATATATATGTGTGTGTGTGTGTGTGTGTGTGTGTGTGTGTATGTATATATAAATACATATATGTGTGTCTGTGTATAAATATATATGTGTATGTGTATATATCATATATACACATACATATACATAAATATTATATCAACATTACCATAAAATAAATGCTCTTATAAGTGGTGGGGTGTTTACAATTACACCTGCTCCAATTAAGACACTAACAAGTTAGATTTGCTAAGGTTCTCAATTAAAATTTTGTGTGCACCTACTTCATCTGTTAAGAGAAACAAAAGAAAACAGGCTGTTGCCTGAGCATGAAGAACAGATTATGTTTTTAAACTATAGTTTGCCTGTTTTCTAAAAATGGATAATTAATTTAAACGTAATAAACTAATAAGTATAATAAAAACAACTTCCCTCGTTTATTATTAGTATCTACTAAATGTTAATTTTATTATAATCCAAAGTAAAAACTAAACATTGTTTATAATATAACTTTAAAGTTTAGACTTGATTAAGTTGTTGAGAAGCCAAATTAGTTTTATAATTCACACCCTAATTCAACTACTAATTTGTAATTAGTAATTACTAGTTAGTTAGTCATCTTTTTTTTCAAGTAACATTAAATTTGTTTAAGCAAGGCATTGCTACATCCTGAAATCCTATGACATTGCATAATTAAAAAAAACAAACCTTGATGATTTGTTATAGTAAGATAACTTGTGTGCTAAAATACTTATAATTGCAGTACATATATTTTACAATATGCAGTACATATAATAATTTGTAGTAAAATGTTAAAAAATGTTTTTCAGCAATTAGTATTATCCATAGATATCTAGATCTATAAGATATCAAATTTTACCTATGTATGTGCAAAAGCTTTGGCTCTGGCAGAAGCTTTGGCTTTGGTAAAGTAACTTTGGCCGAGGCTTTGGTTTTGGCTAAATCTTAACTTCGGTACATCCCTAGTTGTTTATACTCTAATGACTTTGTGAAATGCTTAAAACACCCTGAAGTAATAAAATTTGCAGATGACACTGTAATTTACTGCTTATATAGGAACTTTAATGTCATTGAGGAATTATTAAATAATGATATTAGGGTAAAAATATATGAAATCATCCAAAAAAAATAATTTTCGACACCCTTACGTCTCAGAATTTGTTTATTTTTACACCACTTGCAGTCCATATCAAAAAAATAATAACTGCAAAAATTTTAGTTGAAAATACCAATGGGTTCCAGAGATATCGTCAGTTGAAATAATGCTGACTCAGCATTTTAGTGATTTTCTGAAGCGACTACAAAGCAACTTTGACATACAGTATCTTCATAATGGCTTGGGGAAATTTCCTAAAATTTGGTTCTCTAATAGATTTTAACTTGAGGAATCCAAAAATAGCACTCTTAAGACTCGATTATCTCAAGAAATGCCTCATTTATCCAATTTTGTTCAAAATTATTGACTTGTAAGTTAGTGATTTTTGGAGGTAAAATAAAGACTGTGGCCCAAAATCCCGAGTAAAAATTTTAATTGTATATCATTATTTCATCTTAGGTCTACTGAAAAAAATTAGATTCATCAATTGTCTCTCTAATACATGATCAAACTTTGCATTTAAAATGGTGTCTTTTTAGTAAAATTTAAATTTTGTAACAAAAGCAATTAAAATA